TATATTTGGGGTAAATGAAAGAAGAGGGGGGGGAGGTTAACTGGATATACATCAAGGAAAACCCCTTGTACATAATCTCTCCCTTACCCGTTTTCTCTGGTGGTCATTGATGTAGCGGGTCCCCATAATATTAATCACAAAAATACCCCAAATGGCCCGCATCAGTGCTTAACTAGAAAGGTTACTTAAAAGGGGTAATTGATACTCCTTATTTCCCCCCATTCCCCCTTCATTTGAAGTCCCGCACACCGACCGGTTCTTATTCCCGGGGGACGGGATCCGTCGGTTTGTCCCGGTTTTGAAGTGGATTTCCCTAATTTCTTATCCCGGTACGGATCACACGTTCCCTGGAGCAGGGGCCTATTTCACTCCGCTTTCTTAATCAAAGTTATGATCAGTTACATTTTTCCCTTACAAGGGATTTAAGTTCATAATATTATACAAAAATTTTGAGGTACTCCTTAAGATTGAGGCCGATGAGCGAGGATTAACACACGGGTATTTCCCTGGAACACACCCGGCCCTGCACCCGCCACCCGGTCGAACTTATTTATTAATTTTACCACCCCTTTTCGGTGGTCCCGTAAATCCGTTCCCCCCTCTTTATGGGCAGTCACGGGGCACTTCCCCATTATGAAATTTAGGCCTTATTTTCCAGGCCACCGGAAAGCCCGTTTCCTCATTTTTGTTTTCTCAGCCTCCCACCCCTTTAAAAAAATCCGCCACTCATGGGCCCAGTCGCCCAAACCCCCCGCACATCCCCGCATGCGCCCAAAGGGAATCTTGGTTTTATCTATTTTCAAATCATTTTTGACCCCTATAGGGCAATTTAAACACCCATTTTGGGACTAAGTTTTGGAAAATTAAAATTTTTCCACAAACCATGTTTTTGTGTGAGATGAAAACACATGTGTTGGCACCATGTTTTTTGTGTGAGGAGGTAAAACACATTGTGTATGACACCCTGTTTTATGTGTGAGAGTGTTAAAAAACCCTTTGTATGAACCATGTTTATGTGTGAAGTGTAAAACACCCCGTGATGACCCAAGTTTTATGTGTGAGGGGTGTAAAAACCATTGTGTTGACACCATGTTTTTTGTGTGGAGTGTAAAAAACCCTTGTGTAGACACCATGTTTTTTGTGTGTGGTGTAAAAACACCTGTTATGAACATGTTTTATGTGTGGAGTGTAAAACACATTGTGTAGAACCATGTTTTATGTGTTTGGGGTGAAAAAACCAGTGTAGACCCATTTTTTTGTGTGGGAGTGTAAAACACCATTTTGTAGAAACCCCGTTTTATGTGTGGAGTGTAAACACCACTGTGTATGACACCATGTTTTATGTGTGAGGAGTGTAAAACACCATTGTGTATGACACCATGTTTTATGTGTGAGAGTGTAAAACACCACTGTGTATGACACCATGTTTTATGTGTGAGTGTAAAACACCAGTGTATGACACCATGTTTCACAGAGTTCCACAAGCTACAGAACTTCTAGGAGTATGTTCAGTGACTGTATATTGGTATATATATTATAGAACAATAGTAATAAAAAATTTTTTGTATTGTTTGTTTTTGTAAACAAGTTTTGTAAACAATATATTGATAATTATGTTTGTGTGCTTATTGTGTTGTATACAACGAGTGTATATATGTACATTGCACCTTACTTTGGTCTCACAGGCCACATAAGTTATGTAAAAAAAATAAAATAGTGAAAAAAACAACAAACCTTCAAATACAAGTAAACCAAAGTTTACCGGGTGAGCGGCAGTCGCCGCTGTTGCCATACGCGGCTCATTTTCTGCAAACTTCATGCCTCTATATCTCGGTAAGTACTGATGGGAAAAATTTTTTTTGGGACTAAAACAATCAGAAAAATAATCTTAACATTTTCATAAGAAAAAATAATTTTTTTTTTTTTTTCGAATATTTTGCGACACCAGGAGCAACTTCAGGATTGGGCCCTTCGACAGTCAAAGGGTTAAATATATATAATATATATATATATATATATATATATATATATATTATATATATATATTATATATATACAGGAAGGCCCCACTTATACGGCGGGTTAGGTTCCAGGCTACCGCCGTAAAGCGGAAATCGCCGTAAAGTGGAACACCTTTTTTTCCACTTATAAATGCATACAAACACTAGATAACAAGTTTACACTAACATATATTTAAGTTAGCAATAGAACCAGGCATCAAAAAACAATAAAAAGGTACAATACACACATAGTGCACTCATTACTTACCTTAAAATATTTATAGTCTTAATCTAGGGTGAGACAAGTAGTATTTATTGTAAGAAATCAAGTGTGGTATGTATTGTAATAGCCTCACCAGGCCACCCCACCCACACATACTATTCTATGATATTTAAGCATCCCAGAGCGATAAAATGTATATACAGTTCACTCATTACTTACCTTAAAATATTTGTAGTCTTAATGTAGGGTCAGGAGTAAGTAAATGAGATAAAACGAATAAATGAGAGAGAGAAAGAATGAGTACATGAGAGGGGGCAGGCGCAGTTATGTAAACAAACCAGGGGAAGGTAAGTTTTGTAAACAAACGAAATGTACACGTCTGGTTTGTGTACAGGTTGTCTCTACATTGATACGGTAGAATTAATAAAGAAGAACACTCCCATTCTCATGTAACATCATTTTGAGAAGAAATGAAGCTCTGAGTGAAGGCAATGGAAATAAGTCACACTGACTTTTTTGGGTTATCCTAGGTTCTCTACACCTATGTTGTTATGTATGATAATCTATGTAACTGTATTTGTGTATACCTGAATAAACTTACTTACATACATACGAAAGGAATAATTTTCTACAGTTACCCCCAGTAACACATTTACTCTTATGTTAGATTAGAGAAAATGTTATTCTTGCCGTCACTTGTACAAGTTATGTGGCTCCCACATCTTATATTTATGTTTATTTATTCTATTGTGGGGTGTATTTATCATCTTTTTATGTTATGTATCGTGTTTATTATATAATTTTGAAAAAAATATCATGGATGGATTAATGAAAATGTGTATATTACGTAATATACGACATTTAATGAGACTCGGTATTGTTATTATCACCACTTGTGCAAGTCGTCTGCTACGACATCTCACATTTGTTTATTTATTCTACTGTGGGGTGTATTTATCTTATTTATATGTTATGCATCGTGTTTATTATATAATTTTGAAAAAAATAATCATGGATGGATTAATGAAAATGTGTATATTACCGTAATATACGACATTTAATGAGACTCAGTATTGTTATTATCACCACTTGTGCAAGTCGTCTGCTCACATCTCACATTTGTTTATTTATTCTACTGTGGGGTGTATTTATCTTATTTATATGTTATGCATCGTGTTTATTATATAATTTTGAAAAAAATATCATGGATGGATTAATGAAAATGTGTATATTAACGTAATATACGACATTTAAATGACTCGATGTATGTAAGTTTATTTAGGTACAGGTATACATAAGTATAATTATCAGAGTATATATAAAATATGAAATAACTTTTAAAAACATTTGAAATTTTGGAGTTTCCAGACAAAATGGAGAGACTTAGTGCTTACTGAGCTCATGGAGAATGTAAACAAACAGGGTGGGGCACGGTGACCGTATTAGAAAGTCAGGTGGGGGGAGCCGTATAGTGAGTTTTGGTCATAATTTGAAATGTCCGTATTAGCGGAACGCCGTAAAGCGGAACGCCGTAAAGCGGGGCCCTCCTGTATATATATATATTATATATATATATATATATATATATATATATATATCTATATATCTATATATCTATATATCTATATATCTATCTATCTATCTATATATCTATATATCTATCTATATATCTATATATATATATAATATATATATATATATATATATATATATATATATATATATATATAGAGAGAGAGAGAGAGAGAGAGAGAGAGAGAGAGAGATATGGAAAGAACTGTAAAACAGACCCAGGGGTACCACAGACACAAGAGAACCATAATTTAAGACTATTCAACCTGCTACCAGCAGATATCAAAAATTTCCAGAACATGCGTAAAGGTTTTCAGGAAGAAGCTGGATCTCAACACCTCTGCTAAGAGCTAGATCAATCAGGCTGTGATGGCTTAGTGGGACAGCAGCAGTTTAATGGAATAGGTAATCAATAGAAAAGTCTGGCCCCAGGCCAGGCTGTGAGAGTAGGATAAAACTCTAAAACAGGTTACAAGTAGATAAATTAGACACATGTGCAACACTTGGGTATCTTTATTGAGGAAGCATTTTGCCACACAGTGGCCATTTATCTACATTCCTGTCAGACACAGCAACATCTTGGGATCTTAATACAGGGAATTCTCTACCTGCCTAACCTTTAGGCATGACCTACTTTCACATTTGAATTTGTCATGTGTGATATCACCTACAACTGCTTCACATCACCTGTCTACAGTATATAAGCCACTTCTTCGCACATATGCTGTATTCTTTTCAAGATTGATGGACTGATTACATTGACTCAAGGCTGAGGGACTGATTACCTCAAACTCCACCTGTTCTTCACCATTCTCCTTTGTATGGACTGATGAAGCCACTGTGGCAAAACGTTTCCTCAATAAAGATACCCAAGTGTTGCACATGTGTCTAATTTATCAACTTGTCGGTTCTCTGAACCATTTATCTATAGGTTACAAATAGCTTCCAATATCCTGAGCTATTCTAATTCCCACAGTTTAGAAAATTAAATTTTCAACTGCCTACATAATAAATAAATTATGAACACGTGCATTACATCAGGTGAATTTTTCCCCTGACAAATACAAAATGAGCCACCCTGCCTCAGTGGGATATGACTAGTTTGTTGAAAGCAGAAATACAAAATGAATATACCTCAAGAAAATATTAAACATAGTATAATGTAATAAAATATTAATGTAAAGTGTTATGGAGGATATATTTACATTTAAGAATGGGTTGTCTACTTCCAAGTACTTCGAGATGACATATAAACAAAACAAATGACGATCAATGCCTTTGCCACACATTGCATCTCGATATGCATTCTGGTGCTGGATACACGCCTTCTTCAATAGTGCAACACGCTCCTCATTCTGAAATAATTAAAACATTACCATAAGTTTTTATTGAAAAAAAATAGAACAAATGTTGCACTGACAGCAATGTACTATATATGAATGAATGTATGAGAGTATAATGGTACCAACACTCCTATATGGGTGTGAAGGTTGCAGAGAGGAGGAGTGAGGATGTCGTATCTGAGGGTAATGTGTAGTTTAAACATTATGCAGAGAATTCATAGTTTGGAGATTAGGAGGAGGTGCAGTTATTAAAAGTGTACTCACTCACTCAGTGTGTGTTCTTCTTATTGTCCTGCCCTTGGGTACTTTTTGTTGATTAAAGACTTTGGGCATAGGCTTCAGTTTGAAATCTTCAGAGCCATTGGCACCCAACAGACTAAGCCTATCATTCACAAGCTTATGACCAGGCAAAGTGGCCCCTTTGTGATGAATGCTCACCTGGGCATTCTTTTCCAAAAGAGCCCTGTTTAGTTCACATTAAACTCTTGAGGAAGATATCCCTCTGCTGTAACAAGCTCTTCTAAATGAAGCTGAAAAGCTTCAGTGACTTCCTTATTGACACTAGAAGCCTCATCATGTCTCGACACTTTTAATGCTGGCCCTTTTCTTGAAACTCTTGAACCACTCTTTGCTATTTTTAAAATCATCTGGAGTAGCATCACTACTTGAGGGTAAATGGCATTTTAAAATATTGTAAATTTGTTTCGCACACTTAAAGAAAAAACTTGCTGGCATATTCTCCCCCATCATCTGCTTCCCTTATCCACAATAACATCAATCTTTTTGTCTCTATGATAATTTCTCTGCCTTTTTTCACTAGTTTAGATCTGTCAGCCACTTTAATATTCTTTATAATTTCTTTTTTGCTTGATAATACTTTAGTAGAGACAGTTTTCATGGAGCGCCATGCTCACGCATCATTGCACAAATTCAACTCATCGTTTTTTCACATTTTTTGCTTGTTTCTAAGGGAAATACCTGGTTTACTGTACACTTTAGGGCCTTGATAACTTAGTAATACAAAGATGGCATAATTAACTTACAAATAAAGTTATTGAATGGTAAATTTAATCCAGTTTTGATGCTGGGAACACACATGGTAACTTCAAACTGAAAGAAACAATTATAGTACAAAACTCTGCTACTGGCTGAGATGCTACTGTAGAGACTTTTCTTTCCTATTGCTGAATGGTTGCTATGCCACCGCCACACACCTCATCATATCACTGGTTGGTTAAGGGCCCACCCACATAATAACTGATGTTTCCTATTGGCTCAGATGCCCCCAAATGCAAGCTACCCCATCTCTGGTTGGTTGAGCCCCACTAACATGCCCCAAACCATTACATGTATACCTTTATAACTCAAAATTATTGAAACCCCAAAACCAATGGTAATTCAGGAACCACTGTATTTGATCAAGTAAAGAAATTTTATGTTCAGGTAGTAGGTTGGTAGACAGCAACCGCCCAGGGAGGTACTACCGTCCTGCCAAGTGAGTGTAAAACAAAAGCCTGTAATTGTTTTACATGATGGTAGGTTTGCTGGGTCCTTTTTTCTGTCTCATAACATGCAAGATTTCAGGTACGTCTTGCTACTTCTCTTACACTTAGGTCCATTTACACATACATGTACAAGCTTTATATTGTCCCGTGGACCCCGGGAAAAACGATCAGCTCCCAACTCGACCAATTATGTAAGTTTATTTTTGTAAGTGCTTTTGTAGGTGTATTTTGGGGGTCTGAAAGGACTAATCTAATTACAATATTTCTTATGGGAAAAACAATTCGGTCTATAACGGCACCCAAACAGACTTCTGGATTGAAATAATATCGTTATGCAGGGGTCCACTGTATATTATACACATCCTCTGGTTTTCTTCTATTTTCTTTCTAGTTCTTGTTCTTGTTTATTTCCTCTTACTCCATGGGGGGAAATGGAACAGAATTCTTCCTCGTAAGCCATGCGTGTTGTAAAAGGCGACTAAAATGCCGGGAGCAAGGGGCTAGTAAACCCCTTCTCCCGTATAAATTACTAAATTTAAAAAGAGAAACTTCGTTTTTTTTTGGGCCACCCTTTCCTTGGTGGGATACGGCCGGTTTGTTAAAAAAAAAATATACATATATATATATGTGGATTATTTTTCTTATTGGTATTATCTATTAATTAGCATTTTTTTTTTCAACGAACTGGCCTATCCCACTAAGGTTGGGTGGCCTAAAAAGAAAAACAAAAGTTTTTCTTTTTAAATTTAGTAATTTATACAGAAGGGGTTACTAGCCTCTTGCTCCCAGCTTTTTAGTCACCTCTTATGACATGCATGGTTATGGAGGAAGATTTCTTTTCCACTTCCCATGAAGATAGAGAAAATAAAGAACAAGAACTATCAAGCAAATAGAAAAAAACCCCAGATGTGTGTATAAATATGTGTGTACATGCATGTGTAGTGTGACCTAAGGGAAGTAGAAGACATATCTGTTATCCTGCATGTTTATAAAACAGAAAAAAAAACATCAGCAATCCTACCATCTGTAAAACAATTACGGGTTTTCTGTTTTACACTCACTTGGAGGTTGGTAGTACCTCCCTGGGCAGTTGCTGTCTACCAACCTACTCCCTTTGGATTTAGTATTGTGGAAATTATTTAATTTCTGAAGCTATAGTGCCTTTAATAAGTGTTTAATGTGTTGATTTGGGTCAAAATGTATTTGTATGTTGAATGGAACCAACGGGGTTCCCTGCTGCCCCTGCGCAGATGTGCGCGGGGGTATAGGTCGAGCTGGGGCACAAGGGGGCGGCAGTGTTTTGAATGTAGTGAGGAAGCTGTGAAACATGGGATCAGGAAATTGGCGTTCACGGCAGCCTAAGGATTATATAGGCTCACTTCCTAATAGGAAGTGTCGAAATTTGTTCCTGGTGAAGAGTGAGGGAACGAGATTTACGTGACCACCGTGAAAAAGGGTGGTAAAATAAGTGGATAATAGTAGGACCGGGAGTGACGGGTGCGCCGCCATGGAATGGGGTCCAGGGGAAATTACCCGTGAGTTAATCCTCACTCATCGGTCTCAGATCTTAATGGGTGCCCTCTAATGTGTATAATAATTATGAGGACGTTAAATCATCTTGTAAATGGTAATGTAGTCAGTGATAAAAACATTAAGTTAAGAGAATGCGGGAAGTGAAATAAATCGCCCTGCTCCGAGTGAACGCGTGGTTCTCGTCCCGAGGATAGCGAAGTTTTATGGAATCACGAATTCTAAACCGGGACAAACCAACGGATACCTCGTCCTGCTGGAATAAGAACCGTGTCGGTGTAGCAGGACATCAAAATGAGATGGTGAATGGAGGAAATAAGGAGCATCAATCACCCACAGTTAAGTAACCTTTCTAGTTATAGCAGACTGATACTGGCCAGTTAGGTATGTTTTGATTGGATAGGTTATGGGTGATCCAGCCACCTGCAGTGACCAGAGGTGGTTAAGTTTTCTCACATGTCTACACGGGTGACTACGGTAAACAATATCGTCGTTGTCTCCCAAGGAGATTACTCGTATGCATGTAATGTTGAGGTATGTACAAGTAATCACCCCTATAAAATTCTCCATATCTGCCTGCTGATCCGGTTCGAAGGACCAGCGGGCAGATATGGAAAATTTTATAGGGGTGATTACTTGTACATACTCAACATTACATGCTTTACGAGTTAATCTCCTTGGGAGACAACGACGATATTGTTTACCGTAGTCACCCTTTGTAGACATGTGGGGAAAACTTAACCCCCTCTGGTCACTGCAGGTGGCTGGATCACCATAACCTACCCAATCAAAACATACCTAACTGGCCAGTATCAGTCTGTAAACTAGAAAGGTTACTTAACTGTGGGGGATTGATGCTCCTTATTCCTCCATTCACTATCTCATTTCGATGTCCTGCTACACCGACACGGTTCTTATTCCAGCAGGACGAGATATCCGTTGGTTTGTCCCGGTTTAGATTCGTGATTCATAAACTTCGCTATCCTCGGGACGAAACCACACGTTCACTGGAGCAGGGCTATTTATTTCACTTCCCGCTTCTTTTAACTTAATGTTATTTCACTGATTACATTACCATTCACAAGATGATTAAACGCCTCATAATTATTAAAACACATTAGAGGCACTCCATTAAGATCTGAGACCGATGAGTGAGGATTAACTCATGGGTAATTTCTCCTGGACACATTCCATGGCGGCGCACCCGTCACCCCCGGTCCTACTATTATCCACTTACTTTACCACTTTATCACGGTGGTCACGTAAATCTTGTTCCCTCACTCTTCACCAGGAACAATTACGACACTTCCTATTAGGAAGTGAGGCCTATATTAATCCTTAGGCCGCCATGAACGCCAATTTCCTGATCCCATGTTTCACAGCTTCCTCACTACATTCAAAACACTGCCGCCCCCTCGTGCCCCAGCTCGACCTATACCCCCCGCGCACATCTGCGCAGGCGCAGCGGGAACCCAGTTGGTTCCATTCAAAATACAAATACATTTTGACCCAAATCAACACATTAAACACTTATTAGGCACTATAGCTTTGGAAATTAAATAATTTCCACAAGTATTATTACTTATTATTAATATAGTATTATACTTATGGGAAGCACTTGGAAATAATATAGTAGTAGTAGTAATAATAATGAACCTTGATCTGCAGTATTATTTTTCTTGATTTTCACTTGACCAAATGCACTTATCAAATTGGAAGTAATAGGGGATACTGTTGTAGACAGACAAATGGGTGACTTTTCATGAGTCCTAACAGTGATTATCTATTGTTGGCAAGTCCTTGTTTTCTGTTTGTGTTTCAAAATTCTTTATCATCTTTATCTTATAGTTCATTTATTGACATTGTAGCATGCTGTAAATAGTTAAAGCTCATTGAATGACAACACTAACTTAACTTAATCTAAACAGTATAAGTCAGGATATTTGGCAAAAACCATACAAGAGAAATCCACATTGGCTTTGTGAAGATGGGCTGACACATAGTAGTGTATGGACAAGTCTGCAACCACCCTCCCATTCCCCCCCCCCCCCGGTCTCTCCTAGATAACATTGACCTCAATCACAAATCGAAATTCAAAAGACAAATTGTAAGTGTGGAAGAGTATTATTATGGTTTACACAAAAGTGCTAAACTCATTTAGGTTCTGGAATGAAATAGCTACTAGGTATTGCATTTTCCCTAGGGCATCAATGGTGTTTAGATGAGAGCACCGTTAGGAAACCACAGCTTCTCTGACTTTTGCTTCCTGTTTTCATAAGCAACAATTACTGCATTATGAGCCATATCTACAACTTTGATAAGCAAATGCAAGGAGAGAGATTACTAATGGAAATTAATTGCAGTAGGGTAGGGAGGTAAGCCACCCTTACCTCCATATGTCAGCTTCCTTCATAAAAAATACTTTAAGATTTGGACAGCAATTCTGCAAAAGTCAAGAGGCAAGCATCAGGAAGGAGGTAAGCAGATGACATTCACTAGCATTCTTCTCACTACCTGCCTTGCTACAGTGTTCTTTTTTACACTTTAACATCCAGTAATATCAGTCACCAGCAAGTACTTATAAAATTACAATCTGAGTAGATACATCACAACAGAAGGCATGGGAATGTATAATTACAGTGTTATATATGAAATGTACACTTGTAGATGCTTTATGAAGCTGTTAATGCACTGAATATTGTCTTCCAACTGTTTTGAAACAGTTCTATATAATTTAAGCATCAAATGTGTAACAGAAGTTGTGAGCAAAATTATTTAGGTTAGGAAGGTCCATATACTGGTTGTGCAAAGCCTTAAATGCTTTGCACAACCATGGGTTTTTCAAAAAGCACTTGAGCAATACTGTAACATTTATATATTTATTTTCAATAAATGTGTTCATTTATCTAGGTAGTAAGTTGGTAGACAGCAACCGCCCAAGGAGGTACTACCGTCCTGCCAAGTGAGTGTAAAACGGAAGCCTGTAATTGTTTTACACAATGGTAGGATTGCTGGTGTCTTTTTTTCTGTCTCATACACATGCAAGATTTCAGGTACGTCTTGCTACTTCTACTTACACTTAGGTCACACTATACATACATGTACAAGTATATATATACACACCCCTCAGGGTTTTCTTCTGTTTTCTTTCTAGTTCTTGTTTATTTCTTCTTACCTCCATGGGGAAGTGGAACAGAATTCTTCCTCCGTAAGCCATGCGTGTTGTAAGAGGCGACTAAAATGCCAGGAGCAAGGGGCTAGTAACCCCTTCTCCTGTATATATTACTAAATGTAAAAGGCGAAACTTTCGTTTTTCCTTTTGGGCCACCCCACCTCGGTGGGATACGGCCGGTGTGTTGAAAGAAAGAAAGAAGAAAGTGTCCACCCGAACCCTCATAAATGAAAAAAGTCTGGGCGAGTTGACCAGTAGTGACCATACTATGTACCAGACTCAGGTGCATGGCAAGAAGACTGAAACCACTATGAAAAAACACTATATGGAATGTTTTCCCCAATTCTGCCTACTACAGTTTTTTCAGAAACTCTTGGATAAAAAAATTTGTCCACAGGTTGACTATCAGTAAAAAATTGGGTAACCATATCCCACACATAAGGTATGATTCTGTGTAGTTAATTCTAGTTAAATATTACTTGTTAGCCCTCCATAAGACAAGGAAAATCCCCCAAAATAGATTTAAAACCTGGTCAATAAGAGGTTATACTGCACTACCTAATAATACAGTAGCAACTTTCAATTCTGTAGGATGTTTTCCTGCAGGATATTGCATGTTGGATGTGTCAACATGTAACCTCCTGATATGGCATGGAAGCCTTAATGGAAAAAAATAAAATTCAGTCACTAAGTATACTACCTAGAGTACTGAATACAAAATAATAATAAACTATAATACAATGATGAACTTACAGAGACAGTTTTGTCTTCCATGGCCTTGACCCAAGCAGCTGATTCAATAGTGCATGGTCTAACAGTCTCAGTCCTGCCATCTCTGAAGAGACGTGTCATGCTGGCTTCATAAGTCAGGTTAAATTTGCCTGCATCCTGAAGGTTAAGATGTTTTTTACTTTAAGAGATTACTATATACTCTTCAATTTTACTAATACTGTGGTTTCAGGTAAATTTATACCATTTTTTATGATAAGCCAAGAAACCAAAGCACTTTGCAAATATTATTCAATTATACTCTATGTACATTATCAAAATGCTGAGCAAGGAAGCAATAGAGAGTATTTATAAAGGACAAATAAATTACATAAATGTGCATAAACAATCAATATTGTATTACTGTATATATTTTAATAGTGCAAATCATCTGGGGCAAAAATGTTAAATGTTTCCTGGGATATACCTAAGATGTATATTGTATGAAATATTTATATTTTATTCTTTTTAACTTATAAATGCAAAAAGCTAATGCTGTATTTAATAAACCTTATAGTTCCACCAAATCTAATCTGATTGTTACAAGACACACATACTGTACCCGATAGTATGCCAACTGTAGGGCCATTTGTGTGTATGCATCAGGTGACAGCCGGCAAGCCTTCATAAAGCCCTTGCCATAGGCAGTGTGCATATACAAACGTAGGTCAACATCATTCAAGAGCGCTTCAGCAACCTGCAATAAAAGGAAATTAAATCTTATTTACAAATAAAGGTGACATTAGGATAAGTTATGCTCAATAACAAAGCTGGCAAGCATTTATAAACTAGAAAAGTAAACCAAGACATAGGATTATGACTGATGATGATTAGGCTTAAGAAAAGAAAAATACCATTATGCAATCAGTGTAAATAAGTCTTCAATGTAAGAATGATAATTATAAAATTAAAAATATTATGATTCAACTCAAAATTTGCAATAAGAAAATACAAAGACAAGTGTGAATATTAATATGTGTATGTATTATTAGCCTATGTCAAAAATAGTTATTATCCATATACAGTACTGTGCATGATGTTCCTATTTATGTATAGTATGGTAATCAATACTCAAGCTTCTACTTTATCATCATTTAAGAGTAATTTTCTGTAGCTTTACAATAGCTTCTTCAGCTCCTTACAATGAAAATTTTGATAATAATTACAGTATATCATTGCAAAATAAATGGTGCATAAAGGTTAGGAAAATCACTGGCAGGAATCAAAATTACATCTCAAATTTCATAACCCAAATACAATAAGTAATTTAAAACCAATAATAAATCAACAGAAAACAGCTGAATGAACTATTACCCAATCTAGTGCCAAGCAACATACTCCCCTGCTCTTCAAATGTTTAAACTTACTCGATATGAACAATATTCACATTCGCTCATACTATAAATACAGAACAATCAATTCTAATATAAACCCTGCTCTGAAACTCTTCCTTGACAGCTGCAACAGAACTCTCAGGCATAAGACAAAAATCTCTGATATCCCAGTGTCTTACTCAATTTGTATAAAAACTCACTGTGCATAAAAGAACCTAAAATCTGGAACTCCTTGCCTGAAGATTCCAAAGTCTCCCTAAATGCTAGCCACTTCAAAGATGTTAAAAAGTACCTCATTACCTCAATGTGATCACGACAGCAATATGCTGTCGAGCAAAACTTGAACTCTTGTTCTCCTCCAATTCTGTCCCTGTTCTTCCAGCTTTCCTTTAACTCCCATATATTATTAGAAAAATAAACTCTCTCATCATATGTGTACTGTAATTCAAGTGGCTAGTACCAATCGCTCTGCTAATCTTAATAATTATCTTCTTTTCTTCTTCTTTCAACAAACCGGCCATATCCTACCGAAGCAGGCTGGCCCAAAAAGAAAAACGAAAGTTTCTTTTTAACTTTAGTAATGTATACAGGAGAAGGGGTTACTAGCCCCTCGCTCCCGGCATTTTAGTCGCCTCTTATGACACGCATGGCTTACAGTGGAAGAATTCTGTTCCACTTCCCCATGGAGATAAGAGGAAATAAACAAGAACTAGTAAGAAAATAGAAGAAAACCCAGAGGGGTGTGTATATATATGCTTGTACATGCATGTTCAGTGTGACCTAAGTGTAAGTAGAAGTAGCAAAACACCCAAAATCTTGCATGTTTATGAGACAGAAAAAGAGACACCAGAAATCTTGCCATCATGTAAAACAATTACAGGCTTCCATTTTACACTCACTTGGCAGGACGGTAGTACCTCCCTGGGCGGCTGCTGTCTACCAACCTACTACCTGGGAAGAATTATCTTATCGTATTATGAATTAACAGTAAATTTTAAATATAGTATAAGTAGGACCCCCATATCCGCGGGTTCAGCATCAGTGGTTTCAGTTATCCATTGTTTACAGTGGCATGAAAATAACCCTTAATTTTGCTTAACCCTTTAATTGTCCAAGTGTAGATCTACGTTCTCTCGCCCAGACCTCTGAGTATTTTGAAATAGAGACCATTTTTTTATATAAAGTAATGAAAAAAATTTTTTTTTAGAGTCAGCACTCACAGAGATATAAGGCCGCAAAGTCGGCAGTTGTCGCTCTCCTGACAGCAACATGAAGTAGTGCTGCTTGCAGAAGTATTGCCAATATACCTTTCTCATTTTTTTTAATTTGTATAATTTTTATGTTCTGATAATTACAATTCGTAGCAGTTCTTGTGATTCCATAGCTAATCTTTGTTCTGACACTAATATTAGGTACTGAAATAGTACTCAAATAGTCACAAACTCAATGACAGGTGAAAATTTTCACCTACCTCAGTCATACTGTTGTCTAGAAATATATACATAGTATATATAGGTCCCAGCAATGTTTTGGATACGCAGGAGTATATAATAATAATAATATAAGAATATATAATAGCTAAATTCAAATCCAAATACCTACAAAAACCTCTCACAGTGATAAACATCTACAGAGTTCCACAATCAAACATTAGCCAATTTAGTCAAAACCTAGGAAGTATGATAACTGATGCACGCATGAACAAAGATCACTTACTACTCTCAGGTGACTTCAATATAAATCTCCTGCAAGACCAGGACCCACACGTAACTGAATTCACAAACACAATGAGTAACTGCATGTTGCTACCAACAGTAACAAAACCTACAAGAGTTACGGAGACTAGTATTTCCCTACTTGACCACATCTGGACCAACACCATATCCCCTTTAAAATCAGGCATAATTACAGATAATACCACAGACCACTACCCTACTTTCCTCATAACAACTCTTGGTAAAATACCCCAAGACACTACTAAAGTCACCTTCAGACTTCACAATGAGGCAGCCATTAATAACTTCACAACAGCGGTAACAAACATTGACTGGCACACTGAGCTAGAAATCTATACAGATATTGACGAATGTTTTAATAATTTTCAAAAAAGACCCAATACCTCTATAACAAGCACTGCCCTAAAAAAACTAAACAGATGACAGCTAAGAGACTGAACAGTCCTGGCTAACACCCAGCATTCTCAAATCCATAAATACAAAACACCGATATGAAAAACAGTACAGAATGGGTCACATAACCAGAGACCAAACAAAACGTTACTCGTCAATCCTAACCAGCCTGATAAGAAGGGCAAAAAAATTGTATTATGAGAAACAGATTATCCAACTTACGAGGTGATATAAAAAAGACCTGGAAGACCCTATCAGAAATTCTGGGAACAAAAAAGATATCACGAAATAGCGAAATAAAATTAGCAAAATCAGATGAACCCCAACTCCCACCAACAGAAACAGCAAACAGACTCAATGATTTCTTCTCCACTATAGGACAAAACCTTGCCAATAAAATCCCAAGCTCAGATACCCCACCAAATGACTACCTCACTGGCAACTACCCGAACACACTGTTCCTAGCTCCAACTAACCCATACTAAGTCTCCCTTATTATCAACGCACTAAAAAATAAGGCAGGAGATTTAAATACCTTACCACCCTTTATATACAAAAAAGTGTCACAAGTACTATCACCAATCATTGCAACACTCTTTAACAAATCCATTGAATCCTCCACTTCCCTACAGCTCTCAAAATAGCAAGGGTCACACCCGATCCATAAAGGAGGAGACCAAACTGAGTTTGAATAACTATAGGCCAATATCCAATTTACACCCTTTCTCAAAATCTTCGAAAAATTAATTCATACACGAATCTACTCCTACCTCATCTCCCAAAACATTCTCAACCCCTGCCAATTTGGATTCAGGCCTAATAAAAATACTAATGATGGTATTATACACATGCTAGAACATATATTACACTGCAATAGAGAAAAAAGAAGTCCCACTGGGGATCTTCATTGACTTACGTAAGCTTTTGATACAGTTGACCATGACTTGCTCTACGTAAAATTGTCACACTATGGTATTAGAGGGCACTCCCTCAACTACCTCAAGTCATACCTCAGCAACAGAAGCCAATATGTGTACGCAAAATGGGGCAAGCTCTTCCACTCAACCAATTACAGTTGGTGTCCCACAGGGAAGTGTCCTTGGCCTTTCTCTTTCTCCTATACATAAATGACCTACCAAATGCTTCGCAATTACTCAAACCCACACTTTTTGCAGATGACACTACATACGTCTTCTCTCACCCGAGCCCAGTCATGCTAGCCAATACTGTAAACACCGAATTACAGAAAATATCTACCTGGATGAGGACTAACAATCTTACACTAAACATTGACAAAACCTACTTCATTCAGTTTGGTAACAGCTACAGATGTACCTCTTAACATAACGATAAACAGATCACTTATCACAAAGCTAACAGAGGGAAAATTCTTAGGAATCCACCTTGATAATAGACTCAAATTTCATACACATATACAACAAATTCTAAGAAAATTTCCAAGACTGTAGACATACTATCGAAGATACGGTACTATGTTCCACAGTCAGCCCTCCTGGCCCTTTATCACTCTCTTATTTACCCCTATCTCACCTATGGAATTTGTGCATGGGGCTCAACAACAATTAACCATCTCAGACCACTAATTACCCAACAAAAGGCTGCAGTTAGAATAAATTCTCACTACAGGTAGCACACTCCACCAATATTCAAAACACTCAACCTACTCACCATACAAAACATCCATACTTATTACTGCACCTATTACATACATAGAACACTTAACTCTGATATTAACCCTCCCCTCAACAGAACACATGACCATAACACAAGGCACAGATCACTCTTTGATGTTCCTCGTGTCCATCTCACGCTATGCAAAAACTCAATGCACATAAAAGGCCCTATAATCTGGAATTCATTACCTGTAAATATAAAAGAAACACTACCTGTTTATAAATTCAAGTCTCTTCTCAAAGATCACTTAATCACTCAAAACCAAATAAATACTGAATAACTGAACCTTATAAATTGTATATCCTAAATATTACTCACAATTATATCACACAAATGTTAACCCTTTGACTGTCGCGGTCGTATATGTACGTCATAGGAGATACCGTGTTTGACGTATCTATACTCATAAATTCTAGCGGCTTCAAATCAAGCAGGAGAAAGCTGGTAGGCCCACATGTGAGAGAATGGGTCTCCATGGTCAGTGTGCACCATATAAAAAAAATCGGGGAGCCAGTGGTGCATTGTGGGAATACCATTTC